TCCCCGATTATGGCTCCTGTCGGCAGTTAAGTCCTACCATAGCAGAGTAATGCGGTCTATCGAGATGGGATTAGTCAATTGAGGAGACGGCTTCCAGCCCTTTGAAGCAGCCATTTCTCCTTTCTTCTTGCCTTTTCATCAAAGCTCGCCACAAGGTTTTCAAATCTGCTTCCAATTCACCCCGGCACCAACTACGTGGCAATTATAAAGTACCATACCACACCATCAAATTTGTGATTCATATCAGTTAGTATTACGACTGCTTCTCTAAAGTGTGCCCCGAATCACACATGTAAGGACAAGCATCATCAGTGTCTCTGTTGTCGGAAACGGACGTTCCCTGCTTCTCCTAGCCGTACCAATCAAGCTTCTCGAGTCAGCTCGAAATTAAATCTCTGGTACTACAAGCCATCCCTCTGAGCGCCCAGCTCACCCACTCGCATCTGATGTCTTTTCCTCGCCTTCCCCTTCCCTACGCCATGCACGGTTTCCTTTATAAATTCTCTTACTTAGCGTCTTATTTGTCTCCACGCCCGGCTACAGACAACTTTAGGTCACAATGCTTTCGCTACGCCTCCCAGCGACCGGTTCGCGACTCGACATGACAGCGTGGCGAGGCCGCCTTGCAACATATCCAGATGCTTGTCTCTGAGGCTTCTTCGAATTTGGATGGCCAATTGGCTACTCTAGCGATAAACCCCACGATCCCAAATCATGCATCCACGTTTTCTCGCGAACACGGTGCTACTTGCGGTCCTTTCTCATCCAATCCACTCTCGATCGCCCTAACAGCCTCCCCCAAATTAACTACAGTCGATGATGGGAAACAGGTTTCGTAGACCTCAGTTTCCCTCACGGGAATGCACAGGAAATTCCAGCATGTAATTGACTGTTTATGCGTTTTCTTTGTCTTGAATGCCACTGCTGTGACCTTTCTTTTCTGTATGGCAATTTGTACGCTACTGAACTACTAAACAATTACTGTACTATCTAATGGTTTACACGTTCGTTTTCCCTAACATGTTAACACGGTAATTTTTTTTCTTTTTCAGGGTGACTGGCCGCTGTCAAATAGAGGTTTGTTGACATTTTATGCTGTTTATGTTTTTCTTGAGTGTTTTCTGTATACCGTAGTCCCTAAGCAGTTGCATACAAATTTATGTTACGTGATTTTAACACAAAATGACCTTTCTTTTCACCGACCTACTTAACTCAGCGGTGAGAACACTCTTGTTTTGTTTACGACCAAATATGTTGTTTTCTTGGATAAAGATGAATTCTGCAATAAGCTGCTTGTTTCAAAACTTTTCTGTGCCCACTTGTTGTGAAATGCGAGTTAAATAAAAAAAGGTCGATTTTCAGCCCAGTTGAAACTCGTTTATTTGAGTCTGAAGGTTAAATCGAAAGTGTCGTTTTTCTCGGAAAGACAAAACTATTTCAACGAAAAAACGCACAGTCTATTTCCATTTTTGCTGGGGGTTACCTATATGCAAAAGACGAACAAAGTTGAGTTTTCTAGCCTTGACGAAAAAAATTGATTTTGTTCGATTTTTGTGGACATTTGTTCTTAAATGGCTTTGCCTGGTGATAAACAACTCACATGTAAACGCTTCAGTTAAGTGGCCTCCGTTGGCTTGCTTTCAACCTTTTTAAAACACAACACGTTTTAAGCAAAGTAGCTATCATACATAGTAAGTCAAATACCGGGTGCCACAGTCTTGCAAGTGTGTGCATATATGATTACATTATATAAATCGTTGGGCTCCCTGGTAATGTCTTGGTGAACAACTGAATAACCCTGGTGGATTGAGCCTTCCATGGTAGAGTTTTTGTTAAAATCCTGGTGAACAACCAGGTCTCACAAGGTCTCTCACACAGTGGGTGTTGGGTTACGATCATACGTTATGTTAAAAACGTACTCAAATGAACAATTTCAATTAAGAGAGGCAAATCCCAAGTCCAGAATACTCAGCGACAACACAACACAACCTCTACAAAGAACGTCCCTCCATAATCCTGTATCATTAACGCCAACCAGACTGTCGCTAAATTGAACTGAAACGTGCTATAAGCAATTGTTTCCAGTTGACCTTAGGTCATAGAATGGCGATATTTTTGTGATGCTTTGGTTTCTAAGAAGTTTTCCGATGTACTATTGATCGAAATCGATATTGACATGTTTATTGCAGCTGCACAGGGAAGAGCGGAGTCCTATTTGACCGTATTCCTAGCTAAATTCACAGTACAATTGCAGTGCCAATCCATATGTTGGAGCTAATTGGAATGATCACAGGGGTGGCGAAATCTCTGGGTCTCGCAAAATTTTCATCGAATTTCACGGGTCTCGCAGTCTCGTTTTTTTAGCGGTTATGTGCGTCTCGCAGTCTCGATTTTTATACGATCAGCTGTCTCGGAATCTCGATTTTTCGCAAGGCGGCTAAGGGTCTCAAAGTCCCGATTCCATTCCTACGCTTTGGAGTCCCGGTCTCGCCGAATCTAATAAGTCAAAATGTCTCGACCTCGCAGAGAAAAACGCTTGTCTCGCCGTCTCGCAAAGTCTCGCATTTACCAGTCACCACCTCTAGTCACTGATCGTGATCAAACTGTCTACCCGCGATCATGTTACGCGTCAGTTGAAACCCTAACCTCGACAATGGTCGTGGATCCGAACGTAGCCTGTGAACAAGCTTCCGATTAGGTTATAGTCTTATAGGGCAAGAAAGGCGAGTGTAACTAGCCGAGAGCGATTCAGGGAAGAAAACGTGTTACCTTATTCCAAGAGGTTTCCTTTCGTCTTTCCGCTACTGAATTGAAAAAGCAGTCACGGCGTTCAAAGCCAGCGGAAGAAGTAAACCTCTGGTAGGCTTGAATCTCACTTCCATTCTGACGCAAAATATCAAACCTTTTAAAAAAGAAATTTAAGTATCGACCAATGGCAGTCAGTGAAGCACGTGTATATCATTCGTAATTTTGTCAGATCGGTTCATTCACACAGACTTTATTTCCACCTGAATGGAAAGCCCTGGTTATTGTCATTTGACTGTTTTGAGTTTGGCGGTTTGGTCGTGTTAGTGTAGGAAATAACAGGGTTTCTAGGGCTATTTGGGATAAATACCACGAGTGATATTTCAAAATTCACCAAAATATCACGAGGTGCCATGGCGAGTGATATTTGGAGAGTTTTGAAATATCACGAGCCGGTATTTATCTCAAATACCCCTAGAAACCGTGCTACGTTTTGTTTTTACTACAAGGCAAAGAAAGTATTTAAAATGTTCTGTTTTGCAACATATTGCTCTCTGGGTCCTCTATACGTGTTAACTTACAGGCAGCTTTCACCACCTGTTAGGTAAACTAGTATCAAACCTAATAATACTTTTTGTCACGCGCTCGATGGCTGACGTGATTTTGTGTCTTTTGTAAACGATTTTTTACAAATGCTCAATCATTTGCCCAAACTATTTTAATTTTACATCTATTAAAAGACATATCCTTATACAGCTAGAATCTTAAATCTTTTGGAATTCCGAGAAATGGCACATAGTCAAAATGACCTTTCTTTTCACCGACCTACTTAACTCAACGGTGGAGAACACTCTTGTTTTGTTTACGGCCAAATATGCGCTTTTCTGGATAAAGATGAATTCTGCAATAAGCTGCTTGTTTCAAAACTTTTCTGTGCCCACTTGTTGCGAAATGCGAATTTGGTTTGGTTTGGTCGTGTTGGTGTAGGAAATAGCACGGTCTCTAGGGCTATTTGGGATAAATACCGCGAGTGATATTTCAAAATTCACCAAAATATCACGAGCCTCCATCACGAATGATATTTGGAGAGTTTTGAAATACCACGAGCCGGTATTTATCTCAAATACCCCTAGAAACCGTGCTTTTTTTTGTTTTTACTACAAGGCAAAGAAAGTTCGCATTTTATGTAACACACATATTTTCACAACAACATGTGATTAAACATGTGATCGCTCAAACATCACACAACTGTGATGAAACTGTACTCGAATCTCTGTAAATCTCAGTTCTAAAGAGTGAAAGTTTTTAACAGGCTTATAAATCAAAGGTTAACAATCATCTGTAATCGATTCTGCCTGTGGAACATTGCACCTCGGCTCGGGAAACTTTTGGCTAAGCTGGTAGTTGATGGTCACTTGACAGCCGTGGAAATTGTTGATTGTCATCAACCGCTCATTATTCATCATAAGCGTGTTTTCCACAGCAGAGTAAAGGCCAACATTTTGAAGAGGACGGCGTTGGTTGGACGTTCTTACCTGACCGTCTGAGTTTATGATTGAGGAAATTAGCCGTTGTTCATTCTCATTGCCTACCTAGTGGTCGGCAAAAGAGCGCTCATTTGTATGGCCAGTGACACCAATGATTGTGGAGCGAGGTTGGTTGGGAGCTTTGAATTTCTTCACCAGCGTTTTGCGTGCACTGTGTTTTGTGAGCCTTTTACCTTCAATCTCGGCCTTAACAGCCATAGATTTCAAGAAGGAATGAATGCTGTGGATCCCCATTCGCTGTCGCTTATACCACACTTGAGACTTCGGGCGCTCAATCACCGCGAGGTAAAATGGCCCACTGATTTTCATTTCCACAGGTCTGTATGACAGAAACGTCTTCAGAAGCTTGACTGGACATCTTGGCCCACCAGTTGCAAGCATTTTCGGCTGAACCACTCTTCTTTTTTTGCGAAGCCCGCCCTGATGCGTTTTTGTGGGATTTTCTTCTTATGTGATGTACTCGACGCCATTGTCGTCTTTGCTGAATGAAAAATCTTCTACATACATGTCGTGGTGCTCCCGGCAGCCTCGTAATCCGAAATGCTGCGTCAAAACAAACCACATTATGGCTATTAGGGACTTCGGAGATTGGCTGCCAACGAGCCCTTTGGACCAGCCACAACAGCTCTTCATCTTCAGTGGTTAGTGCCTTTCATGCACGGGGGCGTTTGCCGTAGCCCTGTTCACGGAGGAAGCGCGCTTTCCCCTCGAGCATAATGCCTACTTCTTTTAATGACGGTCCAGGGACGCTGTCATTACCCGCAAACTGTCTGGCTCGTGGTCTGAACCATCCTTCTTTCTCACCACGGTGAAAAACTTCCGAAGTTTCTCGTCGAGTTCCTTGACTTCGTAGCTTACAATATCTGGACTGTATCCTTTTTCTTCAGCCCATGTGGTCCAAACATTAACCCAGATTTTGATGCTTTTCCTTGTGTTTGAATTTTCTCCATTTTCCTTAAAATGCTGCAGTTCTCTCGCGTCACAATCGGGAAATCTATCCGCCATTCTTTTAAAATTAGAAACAATAATTTTTCAGTTACCATGGAAACTGGCTGTAATTTTTACATGTAAGTATTTCAAATTTGGCTTAAATACAACTGGCCTTAGCCAATCACATTTTAGAAATTTCGCAGCCTGTAGAATATGCTGCTATATATGTCAATTAGACTTTTACCCGTGGGGGATACTCCCCAAAGTATTTGGTAGGTGTGTGTGTCCCGAATCGTGACACCCTTATTCTATTTCAGACTAAACCCTGAGATTTTCTATATACCGTATTTTCTCTATTAAACACCGGGTCTCGAATAAACGCCGAGTCTCCCACGTACATTCGTAAATAATACCGTGAAGGAATTTATATTTGAGTTATAGTAAGCTTTAGGTATAATTTTAAGATATTTTAAAGCTCTGAAAATAATGAATAAAAAACCTAGTATACTCCAGGCTCGAATAAACTGCAAAAGTCAATAAACGCCTGATCCGCGAGTCAAGTTTAAAATAAACGCCGGGGGCGTTTAATCGAGAAAATACGGTACCCTAGTCGGGACGAAAGGGTCACGACTTTAAAATGTCTCGGAGTCGTTCTGGATAAAACTCTCTCTTAGGTTTCCCACATCTCCGAAGTCATAAGTAGTTTGGCAAAAGTCGTGTTTGGAGTTAGAAGCTTCGACAGAAAATAGAATGTTGGCGTGGTTACTCCAGGGTTAACAGTTCACACGGATCATCTCATATGATACTGCGAACAAGATGCGCTTTAGATGAATTATGCTGGTGGAACGGTTCAGCCAAATAGAAGTTTGTCGAAGTCGTCATTTATGTAGGCACAGTGCTAAGAGATATTTGTTTAAAGAAAGAGAAGAAAAACATTATAAAGAGAATGATGACTACTGCTGCAACGGCGGTGGGAATAGAGAGGGAAGCACAGATGTACGGGAAGTGGTTATATTTTGACACTAATGGGTCATTTATGTTTCCAGCCAGCTCCTCCCCACTCTGATTAAAACAAGGCAAAGAGCCAAAACCGTCCAGAAAGCCGTAAAGAAAGAAACAATGAGCTTTTTGATGTGACTCATTTCAAAGCCAACACAAACAAATGTTCACAGACTGAGATTACTAGAAACACCGGTAAGTAAGTTAGTAAACTGTATTTAGATAGGGTAGTACATTCAGTTCTAAGGCTGGTCTCCATAGGGGCCCAGTTGAGACATCGATTGATACATCCGTTAAGATATCGATACTCGTCACTTAGCCAGCTTCATCAAAGTGGTCACAGATTTGTAACAATGGTCGCCTTAACCAACAAACATAGTTAGGACTATGGCCCAAAGAATAGCGCCAAAGCTCGCAATTACTTCCAAGACCGTTGAATTCGACGGGCCGCTACACAGGTCACTTTGACAACACTCTAACGAGCAGTTGGAGACTGGGCCGGGAACTGCAAGCTTCCTGCACCCTAAGACAAACACAGGTTGTCAGTATTGTGTTGTTATAGATATCGGACTTCCAAACCTAAACTGATCTCTTCTTTGAGAATGAGTGACTCGGCCCTTATTAAATGAATAACATATGCAGCAATTTATTCCAAATGTCTACAATAAGTATTGAGGCAGTAAAAATGCTCGCCTCTTTGGTAAAATGCTTAAAGGTCGGTACACATCGTGTGAACCAGCCATTTTTATCACAAAATCTAGTCGCAGGGACTAAAATATGGTCCCTGCGACTTGTTCCTCAAAACGCTGCGACCAGTCCCTTCGTGTAAACTCTTCAGGGGACTAGTTGAAGGGACTAGTCACCTCGTGTGCGCCGATTTTAAGTCTTTAACAATCGTATGCGACAAATTGGCTTTGTTTAAACAATCATCCAAAATTTCATAACAGTCGGCAAAACATGAAATTTTTCGCAAACTAGGAAAGTGTAAAATTTTGTCTGTTTCAAAAATACTTTTAAAAATCTGTCTTGCATATTTTTGGGGAGCTTATTTCGATTCTCCCCATTTACAACAAATCTATGCTAATCTGTGTAACACTTATAGTGTTCACATGAAGGGAAAAGGGCTGAGTATTATTGTCGCAATACATGGTTGAAATGCAAATGCAATATACATACACAATGAAAAAAAAACATTCTACGGGAAGTGGTTAGCATGGGTACACTTACAGCTGAAGTTGAACTGTGGGTCACACGCGAGACTGCTAAAACAGTTCTTTGTCTCAGTAGATTGGAAGATCAGAAATGTGCAGTTATAATTCATTGTCATACATCTGTCAGATATCTCATTGCCCTTTTTCTTCACCATATTGTCATTGCCGCACTTTGGCACTTCAAAAGATCCAGCTGCGTTTGTACAGTCGTAGCATTGCAGTGATAGAGCTGCCAGATAAATAAAGAATACCCTCTTTTCAGTAACCTGGGCGACATAGGCGATACTGACCGGAGGGGGCGAGTTATCGCCGGGGGTGGTGTACTCCCATATATATATATATTGGCTATACAGATATGTTCCGGGGGATAGGGTATGGTTTTTGAGGTCCCCGATCCTGAAATATCATTTTTGCCCCCGGTT